AAAAGAATGGGGAGGTTGAAAAAAAAAAAAAAAAGAAGAGCAGCTTGCTGAATCACCCCCTTTCACTGCCTGGAAACCATTGTGCGGCGCGATGCTGCCCGTACCATTGTGGAGCCTACCAGAGGAGACGGACCGGGGCTGGGGGAATGGAGTTTCCATGGCAACTAAAAGGAGCACACGTGACGTCAAAGCCCAGAGAGGTCTAGGGAGGGGCCGACAGGGGAAAGAGAAAGGAAAAGTCTCTGTGCGGCTACTGCTGGGGTGCTTTCTGGAGAAAGGAGGGGGACGCGAAATGCAAAGGGATGAGGTTCTCGGGCGGCCAGCGTCACCGACTCCCAGCAGCCGGTCTGCGAATCGCAGAGGACCAGTGCCCTGCTCGCAGCTCTGGCCCCTTGCAAAGCAGAACGAAGAACCCATGCAGGCAGATCAGAACCACTGGAAACGCGGGCAGCCTTGGCTCTGCAGCTAGTTCCGCTGTTTGCAAATAGCAGGAAGAAAGACGCGTGGCGCCTCTAAATGTCACAACAAGCTGGAGATGGCGATAGTCGCCTAGTGGAGCGAGCATCTGTCTTGCCCAGACCACAGAGGTCATTAGCGCAGCAGCGTCCTGTTTCCTTATTTCCTAAAAATCTTGAATAAATTCCCTCGTCAAATTCAGCAGACTCACGCTTAGACTGTAATTGAAGTGTAAAAAGAAAATGCTGATCATTAGAATGAACAAGATTCTTCTTTTTCTAAATACAAACAATTATCTGGAAGACTGATGCAAACTGCATGGTTACTGTTTAAGGCAAATATCTCATTTTTTTAAAAGTAAGTTGTTTTGCTTTTGACACTTACAAGGGTATTGTTTAAGTCCCCGTACAATCGCAATACCTGCAAATAACAGGTTCATAGAATGAGATTAGTTGCCTAGTCCCACTATTTTAAAATTTTGAGTTCACCAGAAAAATTTTAACGTTCTACATAAGAAAAAAATTGCAGAACATGTTTTATATGAAACAAGCTTAGCCCTTGGATTTCCCAAGCTACATAACTAAGTCCTTTTCTCAGGTAAGCATCTTTACTCTGGGTCTCTGTCTATTGCAGCAAAGTAGTGCTGTGTTTTATGTGGCTCCACCTTAAGTTTTGGAAGTAGCATATTTCTAGGAATAAGGAGTTTCATTCTCAGCAGGGATTGTAACATGGCAACATGTAACAAAACTGTAAGGGGCTGCCGAAAGCTTCCTTATTTTGGAAGCTTTGTTATGACTGCCCTTATTCTATTCAGGAAAGAAATTGGGCAAGGCTTGGGCATGATTTCTGTGCATGTAAGTACACAAGTTATTGGATGCCTTGACTGTCATTTCAAGTTTGACAAGAATCAGTTGACTGCTAATGTTTGTATAGACAATGGGTCTACCCATACAAGATGACTGACCCAGGCAAATATAAACTAATAGCCAAACAACTTTATAAAAAAGAAACTGCTATTGATTTATTGCTGCTGGGAGATGACCATGCTAGACAAATGTTCTACCACTGACCCATACCCTAGCCTGTCTCTGCTTGTCTAACAAAGATCAGCCTTCAAACACTCAACATCAACAAGGAAAAATATAAACTTTAGTTCTTACCTTACACTGTAGATATAAACATTAACTCAACATGTTTATACATGTGTAAAACTTAAAATCTATAAAGCTATTAAAAATAAATATCTTTTTAAAAAAAAATAAACAGTTCTTGGACCTTAAAAAACACTCAGATTTCTTAGTATACAGAATACTGTCATCACAATAATCTGAGCTATCAGGCTCGCCCTAAACTATGATAAATTCTTATAATAAAACATTACTTAACAGGCAGAGCGCTGGGACTGAGGGTTCGATCCCTGGTGTGCTGTGCAGGCCCCACTCCTGGGGCACCCTGAGACAGAGACTGAGACTGGACATGGTGGCATGTGCCTGTAATCGCAGCATTTGAGAGGCTGAAAACAGGAGAATTACTCTGAGTCCAATCTACGTAGTGAGACCCTGTAGACCCTGTACTAAATACACTTTTTAAAAAAATGACTTAGCAATGAAAAAGAATGGTAGCCATGAAGAGTTTAAAACCAATCATTAGATGCTAATTTCAGTGGCAGTAATTACAAAGAGTGATAAATACCAACCTTGCTTTAGATTTTGGTGTGCATCTTATTTTTATGGCTTTGATTCTCGATTTCAACTAATTTCAGTAATTTTTACATTATTAAAATGGTCTTTTAAATCTATCCTATACATTTTAGAAAAATCAATTTTCCTAAAGTGAAATAGGCAGTGTAAGCTAGTTAAAAAATACATCAACAGTTTCCATTACTTCTTGAATAAAGCCAAACCCTATTTTAAAGCCCTCAGAAAATAATTACAGCATATTTCTTTGTTGCCACTGTTTAGTCCAGAGACTATGTTTCAGAGCTTTTCAGCCATCAAATAATTTTTTAAATAAAATATTTAATACACAGAAAAAAAGAGGAGGCTGTGAGTGTGGCTCTGGGGTAGATCATTGCCTCCTATGCACAAGGCCCTGGGCTCCATCCTCACCAATGCTTGAGGAGATGGAGGAGGTGAGCTATCTATTGGAGTCAACATGTGTCACACAGGGGCATAAGTATAGCTTGATCCACTGGTGAACTCCCTCAAAATTATCTCCTTCTTTTCATTTGGCCCTGTCCATACTGAATTATATATTAGTATGACTTTAAGAATACATAATGTTGGGCCAGTGAGATAGCTCAGCAGACTAAACACCTGCTTTGGCAAGCGCAGGGACCAGGGTTTGATCCCAGTTCCCGCATACCATGCTGATGACTGAGTCTGGCCATGGTGGCACATGCCTGCAATCCCAGTGCTGGGGAGGCTGAAAACAGGAGGATCACTAAGAGTCCAAGCTGCTTAGTGAGACCTTGTACCAAATGCATAAATGAAAAAAAAAATAGAAAGAATATACAATGTCGAGCCAGCAAGATAGCTCAGCCATCTAAAGCACCTGCTTAGGCAAACTTAGGCAAGCACAGGGACCACGGTTCAATCCCCGGCACCACATGCCACACCAGCCATGCCCTCAGGGCAGGCTGAGCTGACCACCACACACATACAAAGAATACCTAGAATACATGATGTTTTCCCTTCTAGTTAACAATGGTTTAATCTTTTTTATTTCTCATCATCTTCCCTGAAATTTCCCTTCCCTAGAAATTAAATATATATACCTTTGTTTACATGGGGTAGGTGATCAGCAAACAGTTATGATTGATCATAATTATCTTCATTTATAATTCTTATGCCAGTTATCAAAATATTATTCTCAAATATGATTATATTTAAATATTGAGATGCCCACTATAGTTAAATGTTGAGAAACCCAATATTAAAGAAGGCAATCTTTACAATACTATAATCTCACAATATTATTTATTTAAATTTTGTATAGAAGTGTAAAAACACCTTAACTGTTTCAAACTCTTTAAAGTGTTTTCTTTCTTTCTTTCTTTCTTTTTTTTTTTTTTTTTTTTTTTTTTGAATCAGGGATTGAACTTAGGTCCTTGCACTTGCCAGGGAAACACTTATTCTACTGAGCTATCTCCCCAGCCCTTTAAAATGTTTTCAAATAAAAATATATTTAATTCAGAAGTCTGATTTGCATTCTATTTGTAGTAACAATTACAAGAATTTTTGAGGAAAGTTTTACATGAATATAAGTTCTTGTTTCAGAAGCATGAAATTGCATTTAGCATCCTTGTATACAAGTCTATGTGTTCAGTGACACATGTGTAGCCCACAGTACAACTCACTTCTCAGGAGGAGCTCTCTCTTCTCTTACAAACTTCAAGATAGTATAGTTCTAAATGAATGAGTGAAATATACGATACAGAGGAATCTCAAAAACATGTTAGTAGAAAATGTAAAACTAAAAGATTATATATATATATATATATATATATATATATATTCCAAACAGACAAAAACACTTCTTTTTAATTTTTTTAATTTGACAAAAAACATTTAAGTGGATAACACTATGACTACGTGAGAGAGACAGAAAGTTGAGACCTAGGAGCATGACAGAAATTTATGTAGGCATTGACACAGGCATTTTATGTGTACTCTAGATTTGTCAGAATTGCTCAAAGTGTCACCCTTAATATCTATGAATTTCATTTCATTTAGGAAAAAATTAATTCAGTCAATTCTCAAAAAGAAAACTGCTGAGTAAGCTAATGTGTGGGCAGCTCAAGCCCTGCAGACCCATTCCCTCACCCAGCATCTTGGCCTTGTGGCCCAGGCAGACTTAGTCCTAGGCAAAAGCAGACCCAGGGGCAGGAGGGTCTTGTGAGATCCAGCAAACTCTTGGAGGTGAGGCAAAACATTGGTGGAGCTCACAAGCCAGGAAAATTCAGACTTTCAGAAAAACCAGACAGGTAGGAAGTTCCCAGACTGAACCGTAGGAAGCTTCCGTCAGCATCAAGACTCTGAAGGTGCTGGAGAACTGGCTTTCCAGACGGTCAATGGTGTGAGAGTCCAGGATGAGGACACATGAGTCAGGCCAGCAGTTCTGGGAGCTGAGAAAGATTCCGCTGAGTCAAAGCTCAGGTGTGTTGATGGTACTGGCTGTAAAACCAGCAGATGCTTCAAGGTCTCTGGTCAGAATTTGTTTCCATCACAACAACTCTGACCACCAGTTCCCATGATTTAGACTGAAAGTCCCTCAATCCAAGGCAAAATGATAAGTCAAAAAAGAAGGAAGTCACAAGTTCTTCCTGATACTAACGCCACTAAAGAAGAGCGTCACCTGGTTATACTTTCAGCAGCTGGTTCGGCAGGCCATGACTGTGGGCAATGGCAAAAGGGTGCAAAGTCTGATAGAAACATGCAAAATCTAAATCCATAGAGTTTGATGAGTGATAGGCTATGCATTGATTAGAGGGGTCCATGCCGATAACTGGCGTACTATGTATCATTTCCCAGATATGAATACCTTCCCTCAAAAAATCAGTCATGTACTTTCATGAGGCTATGAGAACATATTTCCCCAAGTGTGCTCCTTTCAGGCAGCATTCATATTCTACAAAAATATCCCTTAGTTTTAGTTTCAGAAATGCCATATATGTATGGAATCTTCTTTTTATAAACCATGTTATACACTAGTAA